GTATGTTAAAATACATGAAGAATGCATGAGAGCATATTGATGGATATGTGTGCATTGCTTGATAAATATAATGTTTGAAATGAATTGTGATTGTATGCGGGTAATGCATGGGAACATATCGTGGATATGTGTGCATTGTGTGATAATATTGAATCATGATATAATTCACGAAGGGGTGAATTATTCGAATACATGGGAATATAATGATGAATGTATGTGTATTGTCTAATGAATTGTGAGTGCATATTTATATGCGATTGATTGTGTGAATGCATGGGAACATATGTGATATGTGTGCATTGTTGTTGAATATGATGATGATGTGTGAAATGAATACATTGATAAATGTTTGATATATGTTGTATGTGCAATCATGATGAAATTCTCGAAGGGGTGAATTATTCGAATGCATGAGATTAAGATGTCGGTCTTAAGTGCATTTGTTGTGGTTGATTGTACATGCATCATTTAGTCAAGAGGCAATGTCTGTTAGTTTCGTGGAAACTAGTGGCTTGTCCCAAACCTAGAAGTGTGGGTTTGAAGGCTTAGAGGACGGGCCTTTGTGGTTATCGGTCTAGAAGTGTGGACCCGGTTTTATGTAAAAACCGAAAAAAAGATAACGGGTTATCGGTCTAGAAGTGTGGAGCCGGTTTAATGTAAAAACCGAAAAAAGATAACGGAAGTCGGTACCGCATTGCATGAGTTGCATTGAGTTGTTGAGTCACATTGATATATGACATATGCATGAAGTGATGCTTATGTGTGAATGATGAGATGTTTATTGAATACTTATGAAGCGTGCATGAAGAGATGCTTACGCGTGAATGTTAAGATTGTGAAATTGTGGATGTATGCATGATGTGAAATGCTTGGTGAATATTCATGTTGTATATATATAAGTGACGATGTAAATGACTATGAGTTGAATTGAGGTGAGAAATAGGGAGTTAATTATATGATACCTATATATACATGATTTTATGCTTTGATTATTATGGTAATATTTCTCACCCTTCTGCTGTTTTATAATGCTCTATGAGGCATTGCAGATTAGATTGCTGGAGGCCTTTATGAAGTTCTGCTTGTAGTTCGAGGTCGCTACGTGTGTAGCGGTTTAGTAATTATTTATGGGTCGAGTCATGCTCTGGTCGTGTAACACGGGGATCGATTGCTTATGTTTTAGGATTACATTATGTAACCTAAGTTATGTTTTCATATTTGGAATAATTGAGATGATGAGATGTTGGCCTTAGTGCCTAGAGATGTTGATTTTATATGATGAAAGTAAATGTTTCTTTTAAAGGATTTTTATTAATGAATCCGCTGCTAAATGGAAAGGTGTTTATGAGCATGACAAATTGTTTTAATGTGATGCAAGTTTTGTGTGATGCCCTTTTATGGATGCATGTTAACTTTTACTCTGATTATGCATATATTATTTGTGGGGTTTAGAAGGGTGTTACATTAGTGGTATTAGAGCAGGTTGGTCCGTCCGGCCAAGTTGTCTAATGTTATTTTTTCCCTTGTATGCGACATGTGTGTGAAAACACTGTCGATACATGTTGTTGCTTAACCTTGTCTAGAGAAGTGGGAATGATCTAAGTGGGGGAGAAGTTGTGCTTCTCCAAGATGCTGCAGGTGTAGAAGTTGTAGCTCAGAGGGTGGTTAACACTCTTGTGGTTTGGTAAAGATAGTTTATACTCCATAATGATTTTCAGCTTCCTATTGACAAATTGAGGAACTGATCACCCTTAATCTCTTGTTGATAGTAGTTGGAGTTCTATTGGATGGGATGGACGTGTCTTGCAAGCTTAGGTGGCGTGAGCAGAGAATTGTTTGGAGCTAAGCCAGGTGCTTAAGAAGTGTGTTGATGAGTCGGCACGAGACAGTGAGGAGATGGTTAATTTTGATGGAAATTCGGGGTGCTAATGAAAGTGGGAAGATGGCGGTTTTGCCGACTAATTATATCTGTTTGGACAGTCGAAGAATTAAATTGATTGAGTAGTATTGAGAATTATGTCTGGTGTGTGTGCTACGGCAACAGATTGTGGAGTTGAGTATAAGGGTGGATAATGACTTCTAGTGATTACTAAAGGAAATGAGATGTGGAATACATGGTTGGTATAATTGGACCCTTAAGTATTTCAAGAGTTGGAGAGGTATTGGATGACCTTTAAGTGTGGAAGGGTTGTTTCCGTGATTTTGTCGTAACGGAAAACCGTAATTTGGAATGACGCAAGAGAGTATATATTATAACATATAAATTCATTCATTCTTATTTGTTACACTTCTATTTCTCAGCTAACTTGCACATTCTGCACCACACCATTCTTTAAAAAAAAACTTCTCCATCAAACATCATCAAAATTCTGAAATATATAAAATTATTGTTAAATGTATGACTAAATATGTGAAAACATTTTAGTTGTAATGGTCTCAAAGGAGGAGAATTTGTCTAATCACAATAATTGACTCAAAAGATTAGTGTCAAAATCAAGACCTGCCTGACTACCAATTAAAGATTAAACTACAACAATACAAATCTTAATTGAATTATTCAAGTTAATTAACATTGTTCAAGTGTGAATGCAGAAGAGTATAACAATTAATAAAACTAAAAACTCGTACACACAAAATGAGAAATTATGAATTCATATTTAGATGATATATAAATCTAACAACATCGACTTCTGCTAATTGAGCTGAAATTTATAGACAAATTAAAACCTATTTATCTATAAATTAAGTTGTAATAACTATTAAAAATTCACATACCAACTCTCGAGTATAGGATTTGAGTGATGGACTTGATATTCAATTCAACAATATCGATTTTTACTAGTTGAGTCGGCAAAAAAATTAGAACTCTATTTCCCATTAATTGTAATTGAATTGGTTATATTTGCAAATTGAAATGCACTAAATAATTAGAAACCTTTGAATGAGATTTTATTTTGGTAGTGGGGCTGCTTTACCCTCTCCATACCTATGATTCAAAGTTTCCTTAATGTATCATTCAAATCCGACAACTAGTGAGTAATACTTGAAAAGAAATTACATCTTAGTTTTTTTTAGGGGAAACATTTTATCATGTTTTTTGTTTTTGCATTATTTTATTTTCATATCATGTTTCATCCATACCTTGTCACTTTCAATTGCTCCCCAATTACCTAACTCAAAGGTGACATTTTATGATGCAGTTTTTGTCTCGTTAATACAGTTCAGATGATAAAAAATAAATAAACATTTCAACCGATTAACTAAAGAGATCAATTTTATCATTCACTTGCATGAACCGAGAGCTTTAAATAGAATTCGAACATGAGACATTGAGAAGAGCGCACTAAGAAGAGAGGAGAAACGTGACAAAACATTAACCTAACCTCAAAGATTGTTGTCATTTTCAAATAACAAATTTTATATTTGATGAATTGAATAGACTAACAATAATGTAACAAAATGTCATTCTAATGAACATCACATGTGATGCACTCCAACAAATGTCTACCTCAAAGATTACATAAATTATCATACAAACTATGAACTTCAAAAGCCAAATTCATATGAATTGGTTAGCACTTCAATTATGTCCCAAAATAGGTTACAATTCTACCAAATAACATCCTGTGGGATGGATCTAGAAACTCCAACTATGTCATCAAGTGATGAATACCCTTAACTGTTTCACATATCTTTGACAAGTATATCTCTCATATTTGTATTGGTATAAGCACGTCAGTTCTGATAGCATCTTTATTTGGATCAGGACTTATGAAGAACAGGGTTGGCAACCCTCTAACCTGAAATACATGAAAAGTTCAAATTCCAATAGAGTCTATCTGCAAAGTTTTGTATTATTCTCATAAGTCCTCGATTTATTTCGAGTAGGTACCAGAGCTCTCTCCTCAAAAGCAAATCCAAACATGTATGCAGCTTTTGTCACCAAACATTGAATTTTACATTTAAATTTAATGTTCGAGTATGAAGCAAAACACCCCGAATAAGACCCCGACACTGACACGATGACACCGATAATAATTTGAAAAAATGAATAAATTAAACATAATCACAAGTGTCGGTACAGGTGTCCGAGACTGACACGGACACATACGCATTTTTTTTCCAGAAGTGTCGGTGTTACATAGCAATTCGACTCACTTTCACCTGAAGTTTTTGAACACCCATCGCTTTAGCTTAAACTCGTTTTTAACTAAAATAAGTTATACAAAATCAATTAAATCAAAAATAAACTTCTGCTACTGTAAAACCAGAATCACAATAAGTTTAACAGGACTAAGATGAGAATTGCTTCCACTACTTGGTATAATCATGCAAGTTTACATGATGTGGTATGGATCTTTAGTTCTTAAACAAGTATATGTAAATGTATGCGTTGGAAACAAAACAAGATTATTAACATTCCTTGCATATACTATCATCTGTACCAACCTTAACAATCATCACATTTTCGTCGAATTCAACTGCAAGCTGCATAAATTTATTGAAGGTTACTTCTGAGTTTTCAAATCAACTACTATCATGACTAAAATTGGAGGATATACTCTCGAATTAGTAACTATAATATCGATAGAAATATGATATCCTGAAAGAAAAATAACTGAAATTAACATAAAATATTGTTAAGTCCACCCTTTGCCGTTCCATAAAGTACTTGCTTATATTGGTCAGCATCTCATGGTAAATTAAGTAATGTAATGCCTATGTTATGTTTTACTAATTAAGCCAAGAACCGGATTTTTTTTAACTTGGTGCATGAATGTTAATGTTTCTAATATACCTTGTCCTATATTATTATAAATGTATATTTTAGGGTATTAAAATCCAAGCAACAAATTGAATGCATATGAACATAATAAAATGTAAAAAATTGCAGTGTATTCTCTTTAATCATAAGCCATTATTCATTATTAAAATAAAAACAAATACTACCTAGTACAAAAAGCTCTTATATTGATATATGACTTAAATTTGATTCAGCTCTATTGTTTAGTACAATCAGCTGGCTTGAAAGAAATCAACTCTTTCTCTATAACAAACCCAATCAAATAATTTGATTGTGCAAAATTACCATAAATGCCAAGCAGAAAACGCCATTTTTTTGGTGAAACAAAGGTTTGAATTGGTGTTAAAACTATATCTCCATGTTCAAAATGGAATGTAAGGTTTGGTCCATCAAGATTAGTGTTTGTTTTATAACAAAGTTGAGTACCCAAACTAGGATCATCTGTAACAGGTTCCATTGAAACTTTGTTTCTTATTTCCTTAGCCACTCTATCATACAAATCATTAGGTATATAAATTGGCGGTGTCCCTGAATCAACCAACATGTTACCCTTTGAATTATAAGGAAAGTAGATATCTCCCATACTAACACCTAGCAATGTAACTAAATACGATGTCGGATCCGGTGTTATAACCATAGGCATTGTAACCGCACCTTCCCCTGATACTTCACTGCCTTTTCCAAAACTCAATTGAAATGGAACCAAGCACTGAGAAAACTTCTTGCCTCCAAATAAAGGACTTATTTGAGAAATCAAAGAAGTTGGTCCTCTCCCAAGACCAATTATACCCATTTCATGGTCATTGAAAGTTCCTGTGTTGTTATGTCTACAACCAATAAGAATATTTTTAAGGGCAACAGGTTTATTTGTACTTGATGTTAGGGTAACTGTTTCTTGTGCAAGAACTCCTTGAGTAACAGAACTATTTGCATAGCCATAGTTGTAACTGCAATGGTTCTCAGGAGAACACTCATGTGAATGAAGGTCGTTACACTGAGAAGAATCGCACGAGACATTACTATAAGAGGAAGATTTTTTAGGATCAAACAGAGGGTTGATTTGTTTGTAGCATCCATCACAAGGTACACAATTGGTCCATATTGTCATGAAATTTGGCTTGCTGCCTTTCTCATTGCCTTTCATACTATATATAATAGTGTCGGTAATTACAACTTATAATAACTAATTACAGTTGATAATAACTAATTACAATTCATAATGACTAATTTCCTATTCTATGAATGTAAATTATTCACAATAACTGCAAAGATTATTTCCTAATTAACATCCCCCCTCAAATTGATGCGGCTGGTCAAGGAGTATCAATTTGCTAACAAGAAACTGATGTCTTGGGCGTGGAACAGCCTTGGTAAGAATATCTGCAACCTGCAACTGCGTACTGACGTGAGGAAGTGATATTATTCGATCATCGTAGGCGTCATGTATTGAATGACAATCAACTTCGATATGTTTGGTGCGTTCATGAAAAATAGGATTTGCAACAATTTGGATGGCACTTGTATTGTCAGCATAAAGTGAAGTTGACTCTGTTTGGGAAAATCCAAGTTCAGCCAAAAGACCACGAAGCCAAAGTATTTCTGAACACGCAGCAGACATGGCATGATACTCTGATTCAGTAGAAGATTTAGAAACTCTTGCTTGCTTCTTACTTTTCCAAGAGATCAATGAAGAACGAAGAAACATACACCAACCAGTAACAGATCGACGAGTATCAGGACACCCTGCCCAATCAGCATCACTATAAGCGCTCAACTGAAGAGAAGTTCCAACAGAAAAGAATAATCCGCGGCGAGAGGTTCCTTTTAAGTAGCGAATTATACGACGAACTGCAGCCAAGTGAAGATGGAGAGGAGAATGCATGAATTGACTTACTTGTTGAACAACAAAAGATATGTCAGGGCGAGTAATAGTCAAGTAGTTGAGGCTACCCACAAGTTGTCGATACAATAAGGGATCAGGCAACAGATCCCCATCATCACGATGATATTTAACATTAACCTCAAGAGGAGTATCTACTGAATTAGCCGATTCAAGACCGGCCATAGAAATCAAATTTGTAGCATACTTGTGTTGATGGACAAAGATGCCCTTGGATGTAGAATGAACCTCAAGACCAAGAAAATAATGTAGATTACCCAGATCTTTCATATGAAATGAGGCCTGTAATTGTTGCTTAAGTCGCTGAATGGAAGCATGATCCGAACCAGTAATAACCATATCATCAACATACAAAAGAAGCAGAACAATACCCGCAGATGTGCTATGAATAAATAAAGATGAATCATACTGACTCTGAGTAAAGGAGAATCCAAGTATAGTGGAGCGGAATTTCTCGTACCATGCTCGAGATGCCTGTTTCAAACCATATAAGGAGCGTTTGAGCTTACACACGCCTTTAGATGAAGAGAATAAGCCTTGAGGTGGAGTCATATAAATATCTTCTGTCAGGTCACCATGAAGAAAAGCATTCTTCACATCCATTTGATGAAGAGTCCACCCATTAGAAGCAGCTATAGACATGATTGTGCGGACAATTGTCATTTTGGCAACCGATGCAAATGTCTCGTCATAATCAATTCCATATTCCTGCTTGTTTCCTAACGCAACCAAACGAGCCTTGTAACGGTTGAGGGACCCATCAGAATTCAGTTTCACAGAATACACCCATTTGCAACCTATAGGTTTTACATTTGGAGGACAAGTGACGATATCCCATGTGAAATTCTCTTAAAGAGCTTGGAGCTCTTCAGTCATTGCTTTTATCCATCGCACATCTTTAACAGCCTGTGAGTAACAAGTAGGAATAGATATGCTAGAGAGTGTGGCAGTCAGAGAAGTATGTGAGGAATCATACATGTATGGTGAATATCTATCTGGTGCGTGGGATATTCGACCAGAACGTCGTGGTTCAACCGGTACAGGATCAGGTGGCAGTTCAGCATCGGGAAGGGGCGTGGGAACCTGTTTTCTGTGTTTTCTGACATATACATGACCTGGTTTATAACGTTCTATAGCTTGAGGCATAATAGAAAACTTAGGAAGAGTAACAATATCATTAATGGGAGGAGAACCACAGGGAAACATAAACTGATTATCAAAAAATGTCACATTTCTAGAAATGCGAAAACGATGGTTAGAGACATCATAACACACAAATCCCTTATGAGAGTTACTATATCCCATAAATGCACATTGAACGGATTGTGCTCCAAGCTTATGCCTTTCAAAAGGAGGTAAGTGAACAAAACACACACACCCAAAAGTATGTAAAGCACTATAATCAGGATGAATTTTAAATAGACGGAAGAAAGGAGAATCAAGATCAATAACTGTAGAAGGAATACGATTGATCAAGAAGACAGCCGTGGAAAGAGCCTCCACCCAAAATCGAGATGGTACAGAAGCTTGGAGAAGTAAGGTGCGTGTTACATCAAGCAAATGACGATTCTTACGTTCTGCCGAGCCATTTTGTTGAGGGGTATTGGGACAAGACCGTTGAGACAAGATGCCTTTTTGTTGAAGGTATTCCTGAAACTCATGAGACATGTACTCACCACCAGAGTCAGATCGAAAATTTTTAACACTTGCTTGAAATTGAGTTTCAACATATGTCAAATATTTCTTAAACATAGAAAACACTTTGGATTTAGAACGGAGAAAATATATCCAAGTAAAACGACTATAATCATCAATAAATGTGACAAAATATTTATAGTCAGCATGAGAAACCACAGGAGACATTCCCCATACATCACTATGAATCATCTCAAAACAAGTGGAAGCACGATTAGCACCAGACGGAAAAGGAAGTGTTTTACTTTTAGCCAATTTGCAAACAGAACATGAAACAGAGGCATCAGGAATAACATTTTTATTTCCCAACAAGCCACTTTTACATAAATGAGACAAAACAAAAGAGTTTGGATGACCTAGTTTTCTATGCCAATCCTCATAGGAATTCAAAACATTATGACAAGCAAGCGACAAATGATTAGAAATAAACTGTATTGGAAACAATCTTCCCACTTTAGGCCCCTTCGCGATCACTTTCCCCGACACCTGCTCCTGCACAAGACAACCAGACCGAAAAAAATTGACATTACAATTATTGTCCACCAATTGACCAACAGACAATAAATTAGAAGCAAGTCCAGGTGAGACAAGCACATTCTGAAAATCCGAGTTTATGTCCCCAACGTTAGTGATAGACAAGGTATTACCATTAGCAATCTGAATTTTCTGATTACCATGATAAGAATGTAAATTGTGCAAGTTTTCAGATGAACCTGTCATGTGATTGGATGCACCAGAATCAATAAACCATGGACGAGAAACATGAGAAGACTTACCCTTAATACCCAAGGCTGAAAGGGCAGAAAGTACCATGTGTTGAATCATTTTAGGTTGTAGAGCATTGCCATCTGATGCACCAGTGGTGGAAGAGCCAATTGTATGGCCTGTAGTGGCATGAAATGCCTTCACCGAATGATGTGCTGGTCGTGGAGGATGCGTGGGACAGTCAGAAATGATATGACCTTGTTGTTTGCAATAATTACAAAACTTCTTACTGCAGCTACGAGCAATATGTCCAAACTGTTTGCAAGAAAAACATTGGACATGTTGCATATCGCGACCTTTATTTCTACTTTGAGCAGCATATGCAATTGCCACAGGCTCAGAACTGACAGTATCATGAGACATGGTTCCTTGAGTAAGGAGACGTTGTTCCTCCCTGAGAAGTTCACCAACACATGTATCCAAAGAAGGAACAGGATTCCTATTTAGCAAAGCACCTCTGACAACCTCAAATTCTAGACGAAGCTTCATGAGGAATTGATCTCGCCTACTTGTGTTGTAGACCTCTTGAACAACCGCAAAAGAGGTCTTGGGAACATTAGCATGTATAATAGCAGAGTGTTCTGCCCAAAGATTCAAAAAACCAGAATAGTATTCTTGAATAGACAAATCACCTTGTTTGTAGTTGGCGATGTCTAACTCCAACTGAAAACGTTTTGCCGAACTGTCCTGGTTGTAAATGCGCTTCAGATAATTCCACATTTCTTGAGCAGATGAAAAAGAACGCAAATTATTTATCATTTGAGGATCAATACTGTTTAGAATCCAAGTGATAATTTGAGCATCTTTAGTTTCCCACGCATCTAAAGCAGTTTTCTCCGTTGGTGCCTTAGAAACATCATCTAAGTGACTCCATAATCCCTTTCCTTTAACATACATCTTGAACTGAAATTCCCATGCCGAATAATTCTTGCCGGTAAAACGAACACAAAAATTATCTCTTTCTTTTTCGGAAGCCATCTAAATTATTAAACCACCAGATACAATCTCACTAATATTATTTTATTATTATTATAATAATAATTATAATAATAACAATAATAATAATAATAACTATAATATAATAACAGTAACTGTAATCATAGTTACTAGAGCAGCAACAAGAAATAATACCCACGAACCAACGAACAACAGCACGATCAAATCCACGATTTGGAAGGAGCGGCAAAACAGAAGATTATGACGATCCAGAATCACGAAGCAACAACAGCCAAGAACCAAAAAAAATTGATTGCAATATCAGCGCAACAACGAGAATCTCCAAGATGAAATCACAAACCAGCAACCAAAGATTTAGAATCTCAGACATCTGCAAGGTTTCGATTTCAAACGAAAGAATTTCGAAACGAACACGATTACGAGAGCGAACCAGTGGGGTATCGCTGATCAGCCAATATAATAATATTTTCCAGGTTTGATCGAACCTACTGATACCATGTCATGAAATTTGGCTTGCTGCCTTTCTCATTGTCTTTCATACTATATATAATAGTGTCGGTAATTACAACTCATAATAACTAATTACAGTTGATAATAACTAATTACAATTCATAATGACTAATTTCCGATTCTATGAATGTAAATTATTCATAATAACTGCAAAGATTATTTCCTAATTAACACATATAGGGTCACTTTCGGTATCTGCAATACCAGATACTTTTATTGGTGGAGTTCCAATATATACTTCCATGAGATGCTGACCAATATAAGCATGTATAGGTGCTTGTATGATATATTGTTAAGCATACCATTGAAATCAGGTT